TTTTTTTGGCGATTTCGTTTTTCGCGGTTATCTCGGAAACTATGAGAGATAGAGCCTTGAAGCATATTCCATTCGATTCCTGAGGAAATTTTGGTAACTTATAGGCAGATGGACGGCTCAGAACTGCGTTTTTCTACCTCCTACACCCTATACAAGATAAATTAAATTATTTTTTTTGGCGATTTCGTTTTTCGCGGTTATCTCGGAAACTATGAGAGATAGAGCCTTAAACCCAATTCCATTCGATTCCTGAGGAAGTTTTGGTATCCTATGGGCAGATGGACGGCTCAGAATTGCGTTTTTCCACTTCCTAGACCCTATACAAGATGAATTAAATTAATTTTTTTTGGCAATTTCGTTTTTCGCGATTATCTCGGAAACTATGAGAGATAGAGCCTTAAACCCAATTCCATTCGATTCCTGAGGAAATTTTGGTAACTTATAGGTAGATGGACGGCTCAGAACTGCGTTTTTCCACCTCCTACACCCTATACAATATAAATTAAATTATTTTTTTTGGCCATTTCGTTGTTCGCGATTATCTCGGAAACTATGAGAGATAGAGCCTTAAAACCTATTCCATTCGATTCCTGAGGAAATTTGGGTTCCCTATGGGCAAATGGACGGCTCAGAACTGCGTTTTTCTACCTCCTACACCCTATACAAGATAAATTAAATTATTTTTTTGGCGATTTCGTTTTACGCGATTATCTCGGAAACTATGAGCGATAGAGCCTTGAAGCCTATTCCATTCGATTCCTGAGGAAATTTTTGTAACTTATAGGCCGATGGACGGCTCAGAACTGCGTTTTTCTACCTCCTACACCCTATACAAGATAAATTAAATTATTTTTTTTGGCCATTTCGTTGTTCGCGATAATCTCGGAAACTATGAGAGATAGAGCCTTAAACCCAATTCCATTCGATTCCTAAGGAAATTTGCGTTCCCTTTAGGAAGATGGACGGCTCAGAATTTCGTTTTTCTACTTCCTACACCCTATACAAGATAAATTAAATTATTTTTTTTTGTCATTTAGGTTGTGACGTCCTCTCAGTAATCCATATTTCGCCAGCGCACTTCCTCCCTGAAATTGGAATACTTGCATTTTTTTTGCGGTTTCCATGAATGTTCCATTCATTTTTGGAAATTCACTCATTCTAATTGATATTTATAAAAAATTTCGAGAATGTAATGGATCCATTGAAAATAGCGACGTTTTTTGGTTGATTCAGAAACTTAAAAATGTATCTTCCCCCGCATTTTTCATAATGAAGGAACGGAAATTTGTTATCATATTCAAAAAACCATTAAAAAGAATACGTTGTGTACGTGTAAAATTGATTTTTCGATTTAAAAAATTTTAAATCTCCAATTGTTAGCAGTCGGAGACAAATTTGACCTACAAAATACGATTCCTGAGGAAATATCACGCGGATAAACCTCTTTTTCTTTTTTTTTCTCGAAAAATGAAAAATTTGATTTCTCGGGGTGAATCTCTCCTTAATTCAATAAACATTTCAAACGTCCGACATTTTAACACTCACTGGAATAAATTAAATCCACTACTCATAAAATCATATACTACTACTCTATGTAAAAGGCCGAGAGGTCATACATGCCTGAATAAAAATTAATTAACTACTCTATCTACCAAATTGAAATTGAAATCCTGATGGTGACGTTTTCCGGAAAATCAATGAGAGTCACAGAAGGGCAGACGTTTTCATAACTCTGGGCGCCAGGTGTTGGAAAAAGTGTGTCGTGTACGTAGTTCTGCAGCGTCAAGGGAATTAAATCCCCCGGATTCTTTTCGACAGCGTAATATCGCAAACCCGGAGATATATTAAGTGTTGAGAGTGCTGCTGACAAGCTGCAATATCTTGAAATTTTCTTTATGAAATTTACGGTATCGTCGTTCAACGGGCTTCATTTACGACGGTGAATTAGTCATTTGAGACGAGAGTAAATTAGTCACTGCACGAGTGGAGAATTACTGATACATGTCGGGGGAATTGAACATGAGTCCGGGATTTTGTTAAGGGAGGAAAGGGATGAGTTTCCGCAGTGATTCGACAATTCTCAAGGGTGGGACGGTGTTGAGGTAGATGAAATGCTTGACAATTTGCCAGGTGCAGTGTAATCCCCAAAGCATCTTGGAGATTTGGGAATTGCAGACTGAGGGAAAATTCATTCCTTGATATTCGACCGTTTACTGGAAGGTCCAAGCCTTTGTCAAAAATTTAGTTCTTCCAAAATCTAGTATTTAATTCTTCAAGTTCTTTTATAATATGTAAATTTTCAGTTCTTCCATTTCATACAAATTTAGAAAATTTAAGATTACTTTAATTTTTATCGACTGATAGTAATTTACCTCTTATTGGTGCTTGATGTTCTGCCAGTTTAATACCATCTCTTGGTAATAAAGGTGCCTTTCTTATTCTCCATCGCTCCTTAAAGCAGAGGAGTCGTCATCTGGCGGGAAATAATGAATTAGAAGTTATCCGAATTGGTAAGAAAATTAACTTGCATAATTTGTTGTCAAATTCATTTGTCACCCCTTGCAAGAATTATAACATCGCAGAAGTTCAAAAGTGAAGACTACAACCCTTCTAATCATTTTTAATCAATCGTTCTTGATATCCAAAATATGAAGTCTCTCACTACTTTCGTGACTACCGCTCACGGCGCAGTGAATTACGTCAGTCGACTACTGTTCTCACCACCGGGTATGATAATTTCAAATTTATTACGTAAAAATAAACGATGAAAAATTTAAAAAACTTGTGGATCTATGTGGATCTACGGGATGTTCTTAAATTTGATATTTTTTCCGAGAATCATTTGGAGATTGCCATTGACATTGTTGAACGTCGCAGTTAACCTCATTCCTCTTCATGTTAGATCGAAAATTCTATCTATGCAGTTATGTCAGTGACTGAAAGAATTCCTGAGACACTGTGGAATCCTGTTGAGATATTCCAAGAGCCCAGACAAATTGAGTATGCGGTTCTCATCCTCAATCGACCTATTCCCATCAGCAAACATTTGATGCTGCCTATTTGGAAAGAAGGTAATGACGTAGTTGTGATAATTTGACTCACTCAAAGTCTGAACAATTTGCTTATACTCTGACATATGGTTTCATCCATTAACACTCCGTTGGTCGCGTTATCAGTGCCGCGCCGCACTTCTCCGATTTTTTAAATTACACTGCAGTAAAGCCTCAGAGAAATTTGGAAAAATTTCAACTTTTTCATTACCGCATACCTTTCGATTTACAGTCTTACGGATTTTCACTTTTCCAGCAGCATATTAATTCCTAATGCTTCTTCCAGCTTTCGAAAAATTCAATCCCTTTCAGAGGTGTTCCCTCGCAGCCACCCATCCTTCTAGTGACCACACTCAGCACTGCTTAGCTTCCCAAAGCTAAGCCGACCCAGCATTGCCATGAGCTGACCCCGTAGGGCTAAAATTTGAAAAAAATTAACATCTCATTTTGAAATGTCTAGAAGCCCTGTCAATGAAAATATCCGCCAAAAATATCATAAGTAGTTAAGTTTTCCAATTTCCTTTCCGAAACTCCCGGCGGTATATCGTGCACTGATAGAATGATTCATTTATTCCAAACGAGATTCGTTAACTATTAACAAATGGTAGAGTTGAATATGACCAAATGAATATTCGTTAATAGTTAACGAATGGTTCACTTGAATGGCGAAAGTCAAGTCAAACACGGTTCCTCAAATATACATTCGTTAACTATTAACGAATGAACATTTGTTAGGACCGAATAGACCCTAACCTCCAACCAAAATCCATTCGTTAACAATAACTAATCCGTTCTATCTGTGTGTATAAAGTGAATTTTCAAAAGAACATGGCATTTTTGAGCGTGAATATGTAATTAAGGGTAACACTGAACATAAAAAATCTCACGGAAGTTCTTCAAGTATACGATCCAAGTCAGTCTTAATTTTTTTCAGATTTTTCCTAGATCTTTCAAATTTATCATTATGTCGATTTTTGGTGGGGCGGCGCAGCGCTTACTATGCGAACAACGGCGTTCGTAACTTTTGCGCAACCAACGGAGTGTTAAGTACACTGATGAACGTTTCACGCCCTATTTGGAGAGAAAATTTTTCTAATATTTGATAACAATTTATATCATTTTCTTCGATTTCTCATTATTTCGTTTTGGAAGCGACGTTTCACATGCGTCTTATTGAAAAATATCCTTTATTACTCAGAAAACGAAACGGATCCAGCACTTTTTGTCCAACGTCAGTTCGTACAATGAAGCTTTTAATGTATTTTTTTTTGTTCAGTCATTTCTTCGCTCATTTTTTTGTCTAACTAAATTTTCGTCTAATTGTTTCAAACAATGCATCTGGGCAAATCATGTAAAATATGTGTGTAATTTATTTATAAACAAGATTACCAGCAACTATCAACGAACTATTCGTTGAAACGGTTTCACAATTGATATCAATTGACACACTTTCTTGAAAAATATTTTTGAACGTGTGAACTTTTTCTAATAATTGCAATTACAATAGAGAATTACAATTAACAATCAACAAACTTCTTCATTGGACGAATGGTTTTTGGACCAAATCGCCCCTACCCAAAAAACTCGCCTGGTTTCTGTATACAAATCGTACCTTAAATTACCTAAAAATTTCTACGTTTGTGTAATATCGATACTGGGTTGCCTGTTGTGAACTTATCGACCAAGTAGATGACCGGGATGCCTTATTCATCACCTTTCTTTCACAGGCAATTCAATTTTCAAATTAAATTACATACAGTTTTTCTATAAATTCACGAGCACACTGACAGAAGGATTTAATTTCTGTTAATGAGGGTTTTCCACTATTACACCATTCGTTCATAGTTAATGAATGATGTTAATAGTTACGAAGCCTCGTTAACAGCAACAAAATCCCTCCATCTTTTCTATCAGAGGATGGTAAAGTATAAAAATTTGAGCTTTACCAGCTTTACCGACTTTACCCAGGATCCATGACGGAGACGTGGCTGACATAGGATCGTAAAAATCTGCAAATGTAAATGTTATATTGAGGAAGATTCCGTATTGTACACCAAAACTGAGCGCCTTATGAATATGAGCTCGAACAAAAGTCGCGAGGGAAACCGGAATATACACTTTTACAAAAATTTAGCTGAATTTTCCGGAAAAAGGCATGAATTGAATTTAAAGTGAAAAAATCAATGGAATTTCGAGTTTTTCTGAAAATTCAGGTAAAATTCCATTTTTTAGCGGCAGGAAGACGGAAATTCCATAATTTATATAAATTTTCGAGTAAAAATGAATATTTACTGCCAAAATTTCTTCATTTTTCAGGGAATTCCTTTAAAATTTTTGAAGTCCCAGAATCTCTGAAGAAATTTCCTAAAATTTCTGAGGAATCTGGAATTCAAGGAGAAACTTCCTTGAATGTTCTTGATTTTTCATTAATTTCAATGGAATAATTAAACGAAAATTCACAGTGCCCACGGATTTCTCCATAAAATTACGGATTTTCAATGACAAAACTTTTCAGAAATCCTCGAAAATTGTATCAGAAATTCCTAGAAATTGTTGCTGAACAGTACTAGAATTTTTCATACTCAGTGGATTGCAATTTTTTCCAGATGATTTATATTTCCCGTCACGTGTTTAACGGATCAAGTAATGATAAATCTATGAAAATGCCATATAAATTGTTGTCGTGATATATTTCAAACGATTTGTCTCCTAATGTGTTATCTGTCAATGTGGAATGTTTTATCAATATTGTCCAGAATTCTCATTACTATCGATGATTTATTTCTTCATTACACGAGAGAAAATGATAATCACCCGTACTTACGCCTGTCATCTCCCCTAATGGACACTTTTTCTTCTCGAAAGATTTGAATTGCATACGACTTTTCTTGTCACAGCAAAAATAAAAATCACTGTTGACGGAGGAACGCATAGATGGCTCCAATATCTTGATCCACTAGCCGAGGAGGTATTAAAAGGAAAACATCCGGAATTAGTCCCAACATTAATAACTGGCGATTTTGATAGTGTTCTACCAGAAAGCCTCGATAAATTTAGAAATCTGGGGGTTTCAGTAATCGAGACTCCGGACCAGAACTATACCGATTTTTCCAAGGCACTTATGCAACTTGCAGCAGCATGTGAAAATCGTAATACTTCTGTAAGTCTCCAATCTATGGATTTTTTCCTTATGACAATAACAAACGCTCATGCATTTTATTGATTCATTTATTTGTACTCTCCCGAAGTTTAATCATATCACAATACGCTAGTAGCGCATCTGATGAAGGGAACTAGTAACGCCTTCTCACTAGTCCATACGCAATACCCCCTTCCCATGTGCACTAAAAGGGCGGAAGAATATCATCGTTTTTTCTTATGTTGTTTGGCTTGAACAAACCGAATCTTTTAATGTTTTTTCTCTCCGACCGTGTATCTGAAAGTTATTAACAATCCAATTGTTTAAACCGAGTTCGCGGGAGAACTATGAAAGATGAAGAAAAATACTTCGAATAAAAGATCTTGCTTTCGTTGAGTTAAACATATTTCATCTGATGGTTTTTTTTCTTAGTCAAATTATTCAGCGAAATATTGAGGGTCAAACGAATCGTTCAGTTTGCGACGCGGGACAGGGTGGGACGTCGCGGGGTACTATGCCCCATGCATTTCCACGGGAAATTTGAATCCCGGATATCTCGAAAAATAATCGAGATACGGGAGAAATCGATAGCAGCAAATATGTTCAGTTTTATAAAAGGAACATCTTTTGTTGGAACTATTTTCCTGTATCTCTAATAGGTTTCAAGCAAACTCGGTTTAAACAATTGAATTGTCAATAACTTTTGGATGCACAGTCTCAGATAAAAAACACTGACAAATTTGGTTTCTTCAAACCAAACAACATGAGAAAACACAGTGATCTTCTTCCGCCCTTTTAGTGCACACGGGAAGGGGGTATTGCGTATGGACTACACCGGCGTCCGGCAACTTTTGGGTACGAGATCGATCGCGCGCTTGAGCGCGCGTGCTAAAGACAAATCGTGACACGAAAACCGAAAGCCGACCGAAGTCGAACACGTGCGGGCGGATCCGAATGTTCGACCAATGAAATTTGAGGAATGAGCGTTACGCTACAGCTTATGGCGTATGTTCTTTTTAGAATAGAGAATCAATGACCAGCTTCATAACTCCGTCTCTTAAATTTTGAATTCAAAATAAACGTTCAAATAGACAAGCGACTTAAATCATTCAAAGTAGAAACAACTGCAAAATGTAGGCAGTGTCTATTTGCACACTCCGCGGTAAATTTTGCCACGGTAGATTCTCACTCACATCTTGTCTGACATCTCTGCTATGAACTCTGGTGTTGAACTCTGGATCCAGAGTTGAAAACCACAATTGTGACAACATTGTCCAGTGGGGTCCAGGAGTCTCCCCTGGTTGGAAAATCATCGTTAGAATCATCTGCACTATATTTCAAGACCCACTCTTGCACTCGGGCCTCAAAAAACATTCACATCTTGTCTGACATCTCTGTTATGAACTTTGGTTTTGAACTCTGATTTCAGAGTTGAAAACCAGAGTTGTGACAACATTGTCCAGTGGGGTCTAGGAGTCTCCCCTGGTTAAAAAATCATCATGAGAATCATTTGCACGCCATTTCGAGACTCGCTCTTTCATTCGGGCCCAAAAAAATATTCACATCTTGTCGGACATCTCTGCTATGAATTCTGCTTTTCAACTCTGACAATTGAGTTGAAAAGCAGAGTTATGCTCAAAAGGGATCAGGCATACCTGATCATGCCCCCTGACTGGGGCATGATCAGGTATGCCTGCTTTAAGTTTGGAATTTATTGGTAGGGTGAACATGCAATGGTCCCCTTCAGGCCCTGATGTGGCATGCCGTAATCAGGTATACCGTATCGATACCGGAGCAGGGCCTTCTCTGCCAAAAGGTCTGCCTGACGAAATTTCTACTCGGGATGATGTTTATGCTCTTGGTTTTTGGGTCGAACCAAAGTTGAATGACTAGACCTCTTATGTCTGTCACCACAGGCTCATGGTGTTGTATCCCTTTGTCATTTTGTTCAGTTGCTCAGAGGAATTGGTAAAGAGCGGATGTGTCTTCCGAGCGTATTAAATAAAGTTTAATTAATAAAGTTATTTTACTTATTTATTGGCTTGGTTTTTTCAATTATCCCATTTCCAATATTTAACGTATGAAAATTTCAAATTTGAAGAAATTAAAAAATAATGAAGTGAGTTTATTTAAGATCAAATGTAGCATAATCACCTCACAATTCAAAAGAATTGTGAAATTCGCACATGGACGTGGACTACCTGGGAATGACGGACCCGCAGAAATATGCTTCTAAAAAAATGAATTGTTCTCCCAAGAAAATGAATCCTTGGCAAAAGTAATTTTTTTCTCAGTGCACTCCTTTAGTTTTTCTCTTTTTTTCCGATGAACCTCCTGTTTTGTTACACGGTTGGAGTGCTTGCATACTCATTTTTTTAGTTTTCTGTCACTGAGCCCGAGAAATTGCCATTGTAACCTCGCTACACTCGGTTAGATTGCGGTTTTCGAGCGCAATGATATAAAATGTTGTATGTCACCCGGCGATAAAAGTATTATCCGTCAAATATGATTGTAAACCTCGCCTCCGGCTCGGATTATAAATAAATACTTTTATCACCTAACGACATAATGTATGATTTTCTACGTACGGAGAGCATAAACCAATCAATGGAGGAATATTTAGTACACAATAAAAAATTCGGAGTGAATTTCGACTTTGAATCCACACCAAGAGAAGTGGAAACAAGTTCACACCGTTTTTCGGTGTGGGTGGATGGAGTATATATTAATTCCGGAATTGAGTATAATGAATGGAGTGAAAATTGAGACCGCCATAGTATCAACATGAACATGGTAATTAACACATTTTGGTACGAAAAATCAAAATCCACTTCGCGCCAAAATTCAACTAAGAACTGAGGGTTAATTGAACCCCAAAAAGTGTTGATTTGAACACCAAAATATTTAACCTCTCACACTGGAGACATTAATCCCATTTTTTATAGTCTAGTAATACACTGATAAAAATTCAATTCAATTAATTTCATTGATTTTCTGTTCAAATGATCTGGAAATCAATAAAATACTTGATTTTTCAGTTCAATTATTCTGTGAAAATTCAGAGAAATCAGGAAAATTGAGAAATCCATATAGTTTTATTTCTGAATATTCATTTTGCACTGAAAATTCAATCAAGTTGTGAAATTTCCATTTTATTCCCACTGTAAACTCATGAATTTCCGTGAATTCTACTTGAAACATGAAATTTATAACGAGTTTTTCCCTAAATCCGATTCAATGTCATTCTCGTGATTTAGTATGATATCTTCCAGGAAATTTCAAAAAATTTCCAACCGTGTACCCCAAGGGTTTAAAAATTATCGGAGATTTCCCGATAGTTGCGTTGCAAGCAAATGAGGGTGTCAAGTGTTGCAGGTTAAAAAATCCCAAGCGCTTGCGCGAGGGATATTTCTGAAAAACTTGGCACAATCGTTTGTTTGCAGGGGAGCTTGAGGGACATCCCCGATCTATTTTGAAGCTCGAGGGGTATTTGTCGGATTCTTTTTCCCAATTCGAGTTTGGCCAATCAGGGTAGATATGAACAAATTATGTTAGAAATAGTATATTACGCTGCAAGGGCGGTAACTCAGCGATTACACTCGAGCGCGCGAAGCGTACTGGAGGAAGTGTAATTCGCTGAGTTACCGACCGAGCAGCGTACACTATTTTTTCTTGCAAGTGCGTGGAAACAAATACTATAGGTATTTTAATAAACATTTGGAAGTAATTGTTGATTTTTTGGTTTATTTTTCACTTTGGCAATAATATTGAATTGCACTTAACACTATTAATGAACAATAACAATAAGAAATATGTCAGTAGTTTTTAGTTTTTGAAAGTAACTTTCCGTAATAAATATCAATTCATATTTTCTCTCTCCGTAAACTCGAGATCAAATAACACGCAATATAATAGCCAAGTCGTTTCCAAATATCTTCTAATAAAATCTCTTCTTCTCACTTAAAATAAATATTGTGACAGTTCGTGAAATTGAAATTGATAGTTTTCACTCTTGGTACTTTTTGCAAGAAGCTCGAGATGTTTAAATTTTCCTGATTTTCAAGATTAATGTTGGAAGAGTTTGGATGTGGTGATGATTCTCTGGGATTTTCCTCCTGATTAACATTCATGTTGAATGGATGAGATGTCGATGCTTCTTCATCGGCATTATCTGGGTGCTGAATATTGATGTGTGGAGATAGTGGGATGATCGTTCTAGGTGGTTTTTCTTTGCATTTTTCAATGAGGTTTGTTGCACATGTGAAGTCTTTTGATGTTTTGGTGGCATTGGATGACCGTGGTGGAGGTTTTCCTACACTTGACTTTTCAAATGACTGTAGAATTTTTCTGCAACGTTCATTTTTGTGAACAGCTGAGTCGTCTACGTATCCTTTTGCTGAAGTGAAGGAATCCCATCCACCAAACTGCATAATTTCCGTGACGGTTGCTCCAGTATTAGCGAACTGAGAAGTGCCGGCCCGACGGAAACAATGGCCAGTGTATTGTTCTGGGTTTGGTAGTTTCAAATACTCTGCAATGGCTTTTGCGAATGAAGCAATTTTGTTCCTCCCAATCGGTTGATTTGTGCAGTTCCCCTTCTGATAATTCAAGAAAAATTTCTTCTCTGTTGCATGACCAGGTCTTAATTTCATGTACTTCTCAACAATGTAGTAGTATTCTCCTAGAATGCTGAACCACCTTGGCTTTTTGGTCTTGGTGTCAAAAAGCTGCACTTTGAAAAATGACTCCTTAGTCTCCTGGTCAACACAGTCATGCACATGATCAAATTTTAATTTCCACATCTCGATTGTTCTACAGCCACCACAAAGACCGAAAATCAGGGCGACCTGCAAAAAAAAGATATGTAGCTGAGGGATAAGAATGAATGAATTAATTGAATGAAAATTAATTCAATTATACAATTCATTTTAACATTAAGTTAATAGTTTACCTTCTCTACTAAATACACCTCATCTGAAGCTTCACGAATGAATTTTGCAGTTTGAGGCTCCCAAAGAACAGCAGCTTTTTTAGGCTCGTACCCTTTTTTGAGAACTTTCAAAAAATGGAGTTCTGTGTGTTTACTCAGATCGAGATTGTGCAACCTTCTGACAACACTTTTAATGGCTGAGAATGTAGACCAGAGACTATTTGGTGCAGATGATTGGGACCTTTCATTGAAATATGCCAGCATTATTTCCTCAGAGAAGATGTATTTGGGTGAATTGTCTTCAAACTCATTCTCCTCGATCCAGTCCCTGTACCTTCTGTAAGTTCTCATGTACCTTTCTCGAGATTTTTCTGGCATTGATTTGTCTCGTGCATTTTCAATTGATTTGAGAATGTTCTCTGGAAGTTTTGGACGATCACTGGCTACTGCTGGTTCTTTTGGTACCCTCTGATGTGGTTTAGAAGATCTCTGAGTTAATAACTCACACATGTCCTCATCTTCACAGTTCACATCCATCGAATCATTTTCCATGAACACTGAATCGAACAAAAAATTGTCGTTCTCATCACTTTTCCACATATCATCTTCTTCAATCCTATCCATTTCACTCAAAAAAAAAAACTGAAAGATTTATTTTTATTCTTTCTTTTGGTGGTGTCTAGTTGGGTGTGACGCGTAGTTAAGTGTGGTTATGGCAGTCGAGTTGTTATTGTCGGTGTTGACTGTCATTGGAGTGTATCCAGGACGATTACACTCGACTCGGTGGCGATCGCAGCGCTGCATGTTATCGCCACGATTACCACCCAGTCGGCAACATGTAAACGCTGCGAATACACGCACGTGCAAGGAAAAATAACTCAATTTCCGTACACTGTCAAGTACAAGATTCGAACTGAAATGAGGCGAAAAAATGAAGAGCTACTGCAGAGTATTCAAAAGCTATGAGGAAATATGCGAAATTAAAAAGTCGGGTAGCCTCAAATACTGCGCTCTGATTGGGCGAACCGAGGAGGGAGGAAAATCTCATAAAAATTGGTTTACTAATTTTCCTTTTAATCCCGCACTAATCTGCAAATAAAGAATAAATTTATTATGTGTAAAGATAAGATATTATTCTTCATTTCAGATCGACTCAGTATACACCTTCCATGACAATGGAGGTAGATTCGATCACACAATAGCAAATATTAATACGCTCTACATAAGTCACGAATTGATGGGCGACAAGCACGTAATAACAATCAACTCTTCTCCAATGGCTCATAATTTGCATTCAATTTTTCTAACAAATACTCATCTCAATTGCAGGTCGACAGGATAATCCTGGTGTCTAGCAATAGTTTAACGTGGCTGTTGAGAGCTGGAAGGCACAGGATAAAAATTCCAGCGGTTCTACAAGGAAATAATTCATGGATTGGTCTCATTCCATTCGGCTGCACTGCTAATGTCTCAACAACAGGCCTCAAATGGAATCTAAGTAATTATTTCTCTATCAACAGTCATTCTAAGCGATCCTTTACGTCTACATCGATTGCAGGTAATCAACCGTTAGCTTTCGGAAGGATGGTCAGTACTTCCAATACTTACGATGGATCTCCGGAGGTGACGGTCAACACCGACTCTGATATTATTTGGACAATGGGAATTAAACTGTTGTTGGAAATGACAAATGGGTGCATCTAGCATTAATTTCTCATTTAGGAGTTCGAGAGGCGTTTGAGGGATTATGGCGGTCGGGAATTTATATAATTGTCGGAGTACTTATTTTCAGGTAGACGGGTGTAGTGTTCTGATGAATATTTTTGAATTTCAGGATGTTTCTCCAAAATCACAAGCACTCCAAAAAAATTAGGATTTTCCTTCCACTAAATGTAGACGTTAGCATGAGTTTGTATGGGGCTTAAATAAGTGGATTATAAACCTGGATACCTTGGATTTTCCCTTGACTATTGGATTCAACACATTTTTTCACATTGCTCTCTATTTTTTTTTTTTTTCGTTTTTGGAGTCTTCCTGTAGATGAATTATCAATTTGAAAGTGAATCTCATAAGACGCCGTGTATAAGAAAAAATTCATTTGTTTAATTTTGTCAAAGTTACTGTGACTAATTTTTCTTAATTATTAGAAATGTTAGTTAAATATGTTCCCTGATAATGATAAAAAATTACAGAATTTTTCTCGAATATTAAAAAATTGGATTTTCAAATAATGGATAAACATCCTTAACACAGATACTGGAACTTGTATGTAAAACATATAAGGGAACAGAAACAAAAGTTTTTGTTTTCAGGGATATGTCAATGATTTTCATGAATCTTTCACTAATTATTGGTGAGTCTGAACACCCACTAGAATAACCCTAATTGTCAGTGATTTTAATCACTAAAATTTAGTGCCAGATTTCTGAAAATTAGAGATTGAAAATTAGGAATGATGTCACTAGAAATTGGTGATAGACCCACTAAAAACTGATGACGAAAACCCTGAATTTCAAAATTTGGCACTCACTGAATTTCACAATTGTGAATTCTTAATGATTGGGGATAAATTACTGAGAATTAGAGACATGTTCCTGAAAACTAAAAACTTTTTTTTTTAATTTTCTCTGTAGAGGAAATTAAAGAGAACAGAAAAGTCAACCATTTATTTTACCCAACTATTTTGTTCTATTCTTCCACAATCGAAATCATTTAGTACTTAAAGCGCAGTACTTATGAAGTGTTCGAAAATGGAAACAATGATTTTGAAAAAAATCCACGACTTGAAGATTATATTGACATTGACCCAATAATCATGCATTCATACACACGTACTTAATTTCAATTGAAGGAAAAGAATACGAATGTTTTGATATTTTGTTATTCGAAAAATTGAATATTCACTCTGCAGCAGAGCGAAAAACAAGAGGGTATTGTTATCAATTTTTTGAGCCATGACCAATTCCATTTTGATAACATTTATTTGAGTGATCGATGAAAAATCGATTTTTGGAAAAGTATCAATTTTTTTTTAACTGATTGAAAAAAATCAATACAGGAAGCTGGGGTAGTCATCAATTAATTGAAAAGGATCAATTTTTTTCAATCAGTTTAAAAAAAATTGAACTGTTTTGAAAATTGGTGTTAATGAATAGAGCTTACTAAAGATTATTTTTATGAAAAATTCATGGAATTCGATCGATCCCTTACAAGAAAATTTTGAGAAAAAAGTGAACAAAAAAAACATATATACATACATACACGCACACACATGCATCCATACCTAAAAATCGCATATTCGGACTTTTTACACCATATTTAGTGACCCTACAAAAAAAATAGAAAACTTAAATTTAAGCGATTACAAAGCTTTCATTCGGAAGCAATACATGTTCTCAAGCTGTAATACACAAAATCATGATGATTACATTCTAGAATTTATATTAAACGACTATCACAAAGGAATAATTTACTATTAGCCCCCCTCCCCTTCCCGGTAGTCATTTCAGAGACGGAACCACAGTTGCATGTACATCACAAACCCCGACACCCAAAGTGAGTCACTCCCGCATAGCCGAAGGTCATGACCTCATAACTCGTGACTCGAAACCATTACTATAATTACTGGGATAGTCATGAAGAAATAATAAAGCTGCCACAGATAAAAAAAACTTTCGACCGAACCACAAAATTCAAAAGAGCCCAGCGAAATAAAATTTATACAGCGGAAACAGTGGTAAAGTGATGAAACGTAAAATCTTGAGGTCTCGTGCCTTACAAATTTTGAATGATCATAATCACGAGTCGTTTCAGAGAAACTGTGGAGAGGCTTTCTCACCAAAAATTTCCTCAATTACGACAGATGTCTCGAGATATTTTCTCCTAAAATGATTCGTTCCTGAGATGAACGCACAATTGCCGAGCATATCGAATTTGGTTAACCGATTTTGTGAGGGGAATAAACTGATATTGTTACGAACCAAACATTTGTAATACACTGAATAAACACAATACAATAAACATTCAATCCAAGAAACTTAATGTTTCATAGCACCTTCCTAACTGCTGAAACTTAATACAGTAGAGGCTTCGTAGAAGATAATTAGGGACAGTAGGAGAGTGGAATTCCTGGAACCCCCATGCCCCCACTACGCGCTCCCAGAGGAGAAAAATAGGGATCAGCGGGTTTCAAATAAGATACCTCGCTCGTTGCGCCCGAATTCAATGACATTCTCATTTTTACTGAATGAATATCGATAACTAATGAATTTATAACTGTTTAATGTTTTGGATTCGTATCGCCCGCGTTCCCTCTTCTCTCTAAACATAACCCCATGTGATAGAATAGCAGCTGATGTTGGGGGCATTGTTGGTGGACTCGAGAATAATAAATTAATATGATGATATGCTGAACGATAATGTTTACTCATTTTTAACGATTGAATGGAATTTATCATGTAATAGATAACCGTCAGGGATGAAGCTTTTATTGTGCGGTACCGGAATTTTTACTATGCAGCACCGGAATTTTTCTGGTGCTAGATAATTGAACCCACTTTACCAGATGGCATGGCAATTTTGGACTGGATTTCGCCAGAAAAACTCTGGAATTTTTTTCTGCGTGTATTCGCACAGAATAGTATATTTCGATACGAGTGAGACGGAATTCTCATAAGTGTGAAGTTGGCGGCCCGAGGCAAAGCCGAAGGTTGCCCATCACACGAGCTGAAAATTCTCGTCTCATATATGCCGAAAAGTGCCTTTGTGTTTACTCGTAAACAAAAAGGCTTTCCATTTATTTGTAAACGAAAAGGCACTTTTTAGCACGAGGTGAACGTAGCAGCAGTGTGAAAATGATATTGTAAAGTTATAAGACCAGTTATCAATGGACAGAGTTTATTAAATAAATGGGGCGAAAAGAATGATTAAGACCAGTTATCAATGGACAGAGTTTATTAAATAAATGGGGCGAAAAGAATGATTAAAAGAAATATAAAAAGGAGTGACACGTCCGCGGACTAGGAACGAAGATAAAACAATAATGAGTTAACAAGAGACGATCGTACATGAAGGTACGATAAATGGTCTTATAACTTTACAATATATTTCGATGATTTGGTGATTTTTAAATGCACTGCCAAAATGTCTCCATATTTAATATATTCATGATGTAACGCGGAACGATAATGATAAATGTGAATTTATTCGAGTTCCGCAAAGCGCAAACATTCTGACATTTAACCCGCTGAAAATAATTTACCTCTCTTAAGTAAATATGCTCTACATATTAGGAAACTTTTCTCTCAGTATATTGTAACTAAATACAATATTTTCAAAACCAGTATTCGAAAATCATAGTGAACCGCATGTCGATATATGAATTTTTCGTAGAGATATTTCATAAGGAGAAGCCTATTTATATTATCATACGGCATATACTAATTCCCTTAGGAGTGATTATGCGGGGAAATGTTGACAGACGTTTTTTGACGGAAGTTGCCGCAGTCACGGGAACGTTCTTCACTCGTTCAAAATACGTAATGCTGTTATGGAATTATTGACATTGTGGTTCAGTTCAATAATATTTGTTTAACAATATATGTTTCAAGGCGAAAGAACCTTCAAGGTTTTATCTAAAGTGGCTTAAATAATTCAAAGACTTGTGGTTCGAATAGAAGATTTTTGCGTTAAATCGTTGATTCGGACATATCGGGCGAAAAGCGCAAGGCCTGATTAAAAGAACATGTCTATGAATGGAAGGCATAGTTTTAAGAAATTTGGAGACGCTTTCACCTTTGATACATGGGCCGGGAGTCTCAGTGGATTTCTCCTTGCGCTTAGCAGTCATCACTTCACCTATTTGGTTACATCCTTACTTTATTATTTGGTTCTGGAGTTGAGAACAATTTAAACGCAAAACAAGCAGTCCCCAGTTACATAGGGATTATTCTGACTTGATTTGATAGATATTATCGGAAGGAATATTTTAACGTTAGAAAAATTCAATTCAGTCGTGTGGTTTTTGAAATATTGAAGATTCAGACATCAATTATTAGATTACTAATATTAAGAACTTGCGCTTTGAAATAATTAACATTTATCTATCTTCATGGAAATTTGATAATTTGAAAAACAATGAAATAATTGATAATCGAAATTTTCAGTGGAATATGAATTGAATAATCGATAATATAATAATTAGAAATTTCATAAAGAGATTTTTCGATTCGCCAAATAACCGTTAAACTTCCGAACTCAATTATTGATTGCTAAAATAATTCGGAATTTGAATATTTAATTGATGATTGATTTAATAATTAAAAACTTGGTGAGTCATATTAACGGACGAAAATAAAATTTTACCATATCATGGATTAAAAAATCCTTCTACGTCAGAAAAATTCTTACACATATGTAAATAACTACGCAATATTGAGCAATTATTCATATTCATGGTATTATTTTTATGGAATAAATGGTAAATTTTACAGTTTGGACACAAATTACACTCACGTTTAGTAGATTTTCGAAAAATTCACTACAGTGAATTTTTCTATTCGTCTGTCACTTTTTGGCGCGATATGGAGAGAAAAAGACCTAGAAATGGATTCCGTTCCACGATTACTTGATTTGTTTGGTAATTTTTCTTCAATTTTTTTCTCCACGTTTCATGATATTCTACATAATTTCCAGGCAAAATTAGAAGATTATCAAAATCAACGATTACGAAGATTCCATTCAGAAGTCAAAGTTCCCTTCACGGAAAGAAATTGTTTAGAAAAATTCTAGTGCTAGTGCACACAGAAAATTTCTCCAGAAAAATTCCAGTGCTCGCACGGGAAAAAAGGCGCAAAGTGACGGCCAAGGAAAAATTCCAGTGCTGGCAGTGGAAATTTTATTGGGTAATTCGTCAATTTGTCTCAGATTTCAATAAATTTTTCACTGAAATCCCCAGAAATTTTAGCCGCAAGCCCTAGAAATTTTACATTAACAGCACTAGAATTTTTCATAGACGATCGGCTGTGATTTTTTCCAGTATTCATACTCGAATTTTTCTAAAGAATTTCTTTCCGTATAGTGAAAAAATCGTAATCCACAGGCTATGAAAAATTTTAGTACTTCTGGTTGTCTGATGAAATTTCAGGAAAAATTTGATGTCAATCTAAGAAAAATTCACGTGTTAACGAATAAAACTTCCAGCATTAACACTGGAATTTTTCCCTAACAGACACTTTACTCCTCTTCCCGTGCGAGTACTGGAATTTTTCAACAGAATTCCTCTCCGTGTAACCATTCTTTTTCGGAGGCAGTAAATTCGACATAAAAAAAAAACAAAGAAAAATGTCAACACATGCACATTCCGCATTTTGTCATGTGAATAAATGGGTAAATTGTCCCCGAACTTTTCCTATCTCGTCGATCAATGTTACACCCCTGCCTATCGTAAAAAGCTGGCAAAACAAATTACGTCAGGCGTCCCCATACATTAAAAATTAAATACAAAACTAGAGCTTTCCCTACAAAATTCTATGAAAGTTCCATTACAATTTTTACGAAATAATTTCTAAGAAACTTAATTATGTATGTCTTACGAATTCTATTAAAAATTATGCGACTTGGCTGTGCGTTTTTCAATATATATTTTTCGATAGAAAAAAGTCTGTAGATCTTGATTTTTGTAGATAAAATAATTCTGTTAAATTTTTTTCTATAAAAATTTTTGGGCATTAATTTTTCTAATTTTTACTCTCAAATTTTATTGATAGAAAAAAAATACAACGAAGGAAAATGTAAAAATTTGTGCTCAAGAATTTCTATAGAAAAATAGAAACCTATTGATTTTTATCTATAAAATATCTGTCAAAAAATAGCACGATACACTGAGAGAAAGAAGTCTTTTAACAACATAAGATTCTCTTGTTCCGAGAAAATTGTCAAGTCTTTCGATAACTCCATATAGTTTACGTTATATCTAGAATTTAATGAATTGTGAGAATTCACACTTTTCAGATCTGATCACTCATCATCTCCAACTGAGGAATTCTTGTTTCAATTGCACGACGAATATTTTTATTATTAATTCATGTGCATAGAAGATCTCAAGAGTTGTCCTCTTTCTACAAGATAATCTTGATGACGCGGAGTTTTTCAACTCACTGTCGAGTATCTATCTAATCCTCTATATTCTGATCCTCGCCACAGACGTTGGTCCTGCTACCACTGATTTTTTATTTTATAAAGAATTTTTTCAACTCCTTATTGGATTTAACAAATTTTCTCATAGACATCTGACTGTGCCCTATGCTCATTCATTTGACATTTCTGACTTGGTTTTTTTTCATTTCTCTTTATTTTTAAAACTTTCTACTGTTCAATAAGAATCAAACAAAACTTTTCCTTGGCACATTTGTTTTACAAAAAACATTTGTTTTCGTTTTTTCAGGACTTCAATAAATTTTCCTCGAGAATGCGCTAGGTGTTTCTATCAAATTTTTCAAAACATGCGACCCCACGTAGATAATCATAATCATTACTCATAAAAAAAGTGAAACGAGAAATGGGGGAGTGCCACGGCGAAGGACAGAGCGAGAGTGGGGTAATTGAATGAAGTGGGATAGCCACCGAGAACTTGAGATCCGCAGTATTACTAAAGTCGATCAGCTGTCGTACTGTTTACATTTGTCGGCGATCGCCGAGGTATACGTACAGTGGGGCCTACGGCCTATGGCCAGTCTTTTACCGCCCGTCGTACAGTTGCAACCGCCACGCGAGTCAGAACCGAAAACCCGGTGATTCGTCTCTCTCCGGTTGTGACATAAATAAAAATAAATATTGCTGTTATATTGTGAATTGGATTAATCATCGTGAAGGAGGGAGTAGGTGGTGATCCGTGCAACAGGTACTCAAATGCTGCGTCGACCAATCAGGTGGATGCCAGCGATTTTGGAGCGACTTGTAAGCAACTGCCAAATACTACAAAAATGAAACGAAACAGAATGGAACAAAGAGTGAGAGAATTTCCGAATGAATGCCAAGTGTCTGTGAATCCGTTACAATTCTTCATTCTCTAACTCTTAATATTTTCTGACAATCTCGGAGTTCGGATGAATCACAAAACATTAGTGTGAAATTACACTCCGCCACATCAACTCGTAAACAAAGATGTGTTATTCATTATCATGAGATATCTCTAATTATCACGACGGCACCAATCATTACCGAAACTTTTCATTTTCGGGGACGTGAGTCACCTTAATGATGGAATGAATAATATTTACATGTTATCAATAAATATTAACATTAATTGATATTATTATTTCAATAAGACTCGTATAAATTCCTATTCCGCAAAATTAAATCAGCAAAACCGAATGATTTCCCTGAAATGTTTACATCATTACCCAAAACACTATCACAAATATTTCAATACCCATTACATTCTTCACCTTATAAAATTGTTATCTTATCGTACACACGGACTGGCACTCCATTCATAATTATTTTAACCGACAACCTTGCATTGGGACACCGGACTCTTCAAAAGCCTCATTTATTTCCGGAAAAAAACCCTATTGTCAATGTTGAATAGTACTTTCGTCATTATTTTCCTCAATTCACTTCCACATGTCTATTTCCTTCATGTTGACCATTGGCCGCGAGGTAAAAATATACGGGGACGTTGTATCGATTGTTGTCGGAGCGTAAAGGGAGCAGAACAAGGCGGAAGGGCGAGTGTACACTAATTCTGGTCGATACCTTTATCGAATTAAGAGTCGAGTCATGAAAAGCATTTCCAGGAAATTGAAAAAAATTCGAATGAGTTGTTGGTCGCTCGCTTCGCTCGTTCCCACTGCAGGTAGGTTGAAGTGGGTCTAATCTATTACGGATCGAACCAATAATTTCCCGAGCAATTTGTATTTTTCTGTTTATTAGAAAAAAAAACATAAATTTTGAAATTTTCATCCGAATAACAAGAAAATGGCTGAGAGTAATGAGAGATGTCGATTTTACTCAGAATCCACTCAAAATCAAATTACATGTAGATATATCGATCGTACAAAAACAAGTCGAGAATAATCCCCCACAGATGAAAATAATCAATAAAATGACGATACTTGACTTTTTAGAAAAAATGATTTTTGCATGAATTGCTCTGTACCAAGACGTATTGAATCGATCGACGCAAAATTTTATACGAAAGTGGGACCCAATAATACTAATTAGTAGCCAGAATCTCAGATGTTTATTCCAAGTTTTACGCGTATTATGGAACGCCACATTAACTGTCAATTGAAAAAAATAGAAAAACGCAAATATCTCGAAAACTTTGTATGAACGGGTATTCATATTTTTATTGGTCTTGATAGGGGGCGGCAAGACGAGTATTTTGAAAGAAAAATAAAATTAATCAGTAGTTAATTAAGATCAGTAGTTTGGGAGATATTGGACAAAATAGTTTTTCACAAAAGGTAAATATTTTCTAAACCACTTGGCCGATTTCGCCTACTCATATTCCAAATGAATTCCTCTATTGGAATAATCCATGGGAATAAAAATACAGAATTGTCCGAAAAATTCAGAGAATGAGAAATAATACGACCTCGGAATAAGCAAAAGATCTCTCGCAAGAGCATGATCCCTGCATACCGAGGTGGATTATGCAATGGCCCCGATCTCGGTGAATCGCTGTCGATACCAGCCTGACTTTTACGTAATAACAGATTGTAGTCGTAAGTGAGATTCGTCACTGGTCAATGATCGAATGAATTGACATGAGTAAAAGTAGGAAGCAATTGAGCATTTCTTCGCGTGACCTTTTACCGTATGATAGTGATATATGGGGAGTTAAGTGGAATTTGTTGAGGAGGGAAATTGTAGTTACGCATTGTTAGATAAGGCGTGATATTAATAAATCAAGTGGAGTTGAACGTTGGCTCGGTTTAGCGCGCCTGACCCATTGCTCTGGGTGTGAGCAGGAGATACTTTGTAATCTGGCCAATGTCTGTGTGTCACTTTGGGTTGTAGAGACTTGGGAGTTCATTCGGAGATGGGTGAACGGTTTTTGAGTTTTCCTCCCGGAGGTTTGAATGTCCCGGGTGATCTGCGCGGATTCCGATGCACCTGTTGCTTGGTACGGGTTTTTAGAGACTGGCGGATACGAGGGGCCATTCATTTGTAATACATTGGAAAAAAATGTGAATTCTGACGAGAGACACTTTTTTTGTTAAGTTGGAAAGAGACGTTAATCCACAATCCATAGGGTAGACTTTACCTTTAGTTTTCATTAATTGCCAAAGGTTGGAAATCAGGATTGATCAATCGGAAATCACGGAATTTCCATGATTTCTACGTAATTTTCAAACAATTACACCGGTAAGTGGCACCATGAATTTCATCGATATACTCTGTGTTTTGCTGAAAAAACTTCGATAAACGTTCCATCGAAATTGATCGGCTGATTATTTCTATGCATTCCGATACCTAACTGCGGATTTTGATAATAAGACTTGATGCAACCGGGCCTTTACATATTTATTCATTTAAGCGAATGGAAAAAGGTGATAAAAATGATTTAACAAATGTCACACCATTAAATGATGTAAAGCATTTTTTTTCAGTTTTTCTGGTCGTTGGTCATCGTATTCCGACGTATAGAGAATGACATGTTGCGTATCACAGTGATTTTATTGCGATTTTTCAATAAATTGACTGCCCAAAGGGAAATTTTCACTTGCGCTTTGCAATGAAAAAGATTGAATTCTTCCATTCTACAGAATAGTGAGACGAGACTCCCGTGACACGTTGATTTCCACCCATTTCCGTTTCGTTTCACACGACAACCAGTTGTCAATGCAAAACAATTAGTAAACTTCCCCAATTCTTCAATGATTGTCTCTCGCAACAAATAGTCAATTTTTTTTCTGAATTTTCCGTGTGGAATTCCCTAAGTTTTTAACAAGAGCCATTTCCACTTCAGAGAACCCGTCGTTACAAAGTCACATACTCAGAAAAAAGTTTCTAGTTTTCAGAATCGATGTACTAAATTTAAGAAACTCGTGGTTCTCGAAGTTATGGTTCTAAGAATAAGAAACCGGTTATTTCATCTCAGTAAAAAAATTCCTTAGAGAAAAGTCTTTAAATCGAGAACCATTGGGTTCTAAACCTGTCAGTAGGTGTCAGTAGGTGCGCTATGGAAGTTTGTCTCACAAAAATTTTGAAGGTATAGAAAAAATACCTTAAAATTGTAAACATCGAAAGAAACCTTTAGTATATGCCTCAAGTAACTATACTGCGTTCTCCTGGCGCAAGAAACTCCCTTAAAACAGAAATGTTCAATTTTCTCCGGTGGACACATCGTTAAAAAAATCGAAATCATTTAGTACCGAATTCTTAAAATATTTCTACCCTAGAATTTAAGAACTTTCAAATTTTCAATTTTCAATTTGGTCCATAGTTGAATGGAGTGCGAAATATATGCTCGGTATACAGTTCCACTTCCATTGCAACCTTTCCAATAGCAGAAAAATATCTTCATCGGTTATTATTGGTTATTTTATCAGCCTCCACGTTTATGGGTATACCGCCCAGAGTTTCTATAGGGCTGCTAGACTCTGCAGCTAGAGGGCGGTCAAGTGACAGCTCGATTGTTTGGGGTAGTCGCGGGCCACTGGATCATCGGGTAAATTCAGAATAATTTATTATTATTCACGTGAAATCTTTCTGAAAATGAAGCCAAAGAATGGAAACGAAGGATGAAAATAGAAAAAATTTTCACGTTTCAGATTTTTTCTCATCCATTCCTATAAAAATTGCAGGAAAACGATTCCCTACTGCGGATTATGTGAATTGTTCTGTAATTTTTACTGCATATTTCTCTCCGTAAAGGGGGACAAATCATGAAATTTCAGATTTTACTGAAAAATTTATGGAATTTCAAATTTTCTAACAGCATTGAAAGATAAGAATTCCTTAACCTTTCTGAATGTTTAATGAAATCATGAACATTCAGTGGCGAATTACGATGAATTTTCAATTAATTTAAATTTCAAGAACATATTTACCGGATTTTTCCTGATTTATACTAATTTTCAGGGAAGAATTGAACTTATATTCACAGTTCTCATTGATTTTTCCATGAAATTCTGAATTTTCAATTACGAAACTCCTTGAAATTTCAGTGGAATTAACAAGTGATAAAAATTTCCGAAATGTGTACCGACAATTTTAGACAAAAATTCTAATCCCCTAGTTTATGAGCCACTAAATCCATTTTTCCTCGCAAAATTTTCCAACAAACAAATTAAGTTAAACAAAAGCGTTTAAAAGTTCTACTTGTAGGGGTGATACTTCCGAACGGAATGAGGAAAATAGGTTTTGTGCGATAAGAAGAATTATGAATTCGTTTCAAGAATTGTGTGAATGGAGGTCAGTAAGCTCCAAGGTTAAGAGATAATCCGTGATAAATATACTAATTGGTTTGAGTGATAAGAGGTGAGTGAATTTTGCAAGTAAATTGGGAAAATTTAGCAAACTTAGTTGGTTAAAAGTTTTGTCATGAAAACACGTACGTATCTCTGACATTCAGTAGATAATTCGGCTTTATCATATACCTAGTCACTTACGAACACTATTAAAAAATCATTGAATGTTTATCTTCATCGACCATAATATCAATTTTCATGGATATCTGGAAGTAAAAAGTGATAAAACGTTTTAGGCCGATATGGCTGATTTCAATTGTTGGATTATCTCGATATTAAGCGATGTTATGGAAAATAACCAGAAAACTGTTTTTTTAGAAAATTCCCTTACCTACAAAAATGTTTTCCGATATTGTTTGCTTCCGAATGGAAGCTTTATCCTCTTTCAAATTCAAGTTTTCCATTTTTTGAGTTATATCGAGCCAGTCCTTTTTCATAAAGTTGATTGACAATAAATGATTGTTTTGATTGTTA